TTCTCCAGAGAGCTAGGTCTTTGCATAATGTGTCCAAAATAGGATAATTTGAGCCTGGTCATTTGTGCCTGAGTGATTTTTTTGATGATCCATTTGTTGGCTTTGACATTGGCTGTCCATGTTATTCTCAAGAGTTTTTTCCAACACCAAATTTCAAAAGCGTCAATTCAAAGACTAACTTTCGCTTCCATATAGTGTCACAGGGAATACCATCATTTGCACTATTCTGATCTTTATAGGTATAGACACATCCTGGCATCTGAATATCTTTTCTAAGGCCTTCAATTGCTACTCTATCAAGTGCTGGTCTGTGGCATATTTCTTGATTGCTCGTTCTTTTACTGTAAATCCTAAAAGATAGAAGCTACCTACCACTGGTTAAATATCTATACCTACATCTGAATCTATATCTTTATCTATATCACTGATATCTATATCTATATCTATCTACAAAGGAAGGTCAAGATGAGAATCAGAGCCTATGAACTACATTTGATTATTTGTATGTGTAAGGGTAAATATATTTTCTGCTTTATTAATATGATATGAAAAATATCACTTCCATGAAATGTAAACTGGGCAATTGCATGGATTGTCTGGGGCAAAACATTTACCAGATTACTTTTCATGATTCACCTTTGCCTATGGAGTAGTGCATTATTGTAGATTATCTAGTTCATAATTAAATTGAAGGTTTTGTCAACCATTTGTTTTCCAACTGAATTCCATGCGAATCATAAAAGCTTGGAAAAATGTTGAAACTTCCTGGTTCATGAGCATACCCTAAATTCTTATGTAAAGTATAGCTGGATTCAAACTTTGAAATAGGAATTGGAGCTTAATTGCTACTCTGGGGAATAAAGTCTGAAAATCAGGTCACTTCAAAAAATATGAAACTAAAAAGGAGGCATCCTTCCAACCCATTATTTCTATTTATTCAGCTCATATATGGCTATACTCCAGAGACAAATGGGAAAAAGGAAGCTGTTTTATACCAACAGATGTTCCCAAATGTCAATGATCAGTACAAAGGAATTCTCCAATTGGTTCTGTACTTTAAATGGACATGGATTGGTGCAATTTCTCCAAAGAATGAGAATGGTGAGAGATTTGTACATGATGTAGTTCCCATGTTTGCCCAGAGAGGTATTTGCTTTGACTTCATTGAAGGAATTCCAATAACAACTTATTCAAGTAGCATTTTTGACTTAATGGAAGAGGGAATTAAAATGTTTAAAGTGGTTATGACAAGCACCACTAATGCAGTAATAATCCATGGGGAAATTGATGACATGATTCTTTTGAGAACATTCCCCACTATGTCCAAATTGGAAGGAATACAGCTGTGGACAAAAGTTAAAGTTTGGGTTATGACTGCACAAATAGATTTCGTATCACTCCCCTTTATAAGAAATGAGGACATAGACTTCATCCATGGTGCTCTCTCTTTTGCAATTCACTCAAAGAAGGTGCTGGGATTCTGGGAATTTTTTCAGATGACAAAGCCTACCCTTGACAGAGATGAGATGATAGGTTTATCAAGCTCTTCTGGAAAAATGCATTTGAATGTTCATTCTCCAACTCCATGATAGATGAGGAAGATGGAGTCCTCTGCACTGAAGAGGAGAAACTGGAGACTCTTCCTACATCTGTGTTTGAAATGGACATGACTGGCCACAGCTACAGCATCTACAATGCAGTCTATGTGGTAGCACATGCTTTGCATACCATGTTCTCATCTGCATTCGCATTCAGAGCAGAAAACCACAAGGCCCAACTTTGCCTTCTGGAACAACAGTTCTGGAAGGTAAAGTCCTGAGCAAACAAAATTCAAAAGTTTTTGTCAAATTATTAATATATCCAAAAAAAAAAAATCCTCCCCCACATACCCAATTTTATTGAAAGAAGTTACTTTTGAAATTAGATTTATGTACTGCATGTTAAAATGAGCAAGATGATACAAAGTTGTAATTTGCTTTTCAGAAATCAATTAATTAATATAAGGTAATATATGTGTGCACTTACTTGGTCTACAGAATTGACATATTTTAATTTCCTACATTTTAGTTCTATGTGTAATTTTATTTAGGAATTTCTGTCCCATGTGCCCCCCCCCCCCCCCCCCATATTGGCCAAGATTCTTAACCATTCGGTCATTTTTATGTTCCTCAAACACATTGAAAAACATGAATACTTTTAATTCTCAATGTTATTCTGTTGTTATGTAGTCCTGTAGCTCTTTTATTATTTTGCAGATGCTATATATTTTACTGTACAGCAAGTTTAGAAGTTTAAACTTTAAACTACAGCAACTTTTACAGTTTAAAAAAATAATAATTCAACAGCATGCATTAATTTATGGTAAGTTTTGTCAAGTAGTATTACACTGATAGCCTTCTTAAAGCTTTTAAAGGATTTATTATGTCTTCTTCAAAGGAAAATTTGCATTATTGTTTTGTCCTTCCTGATAAATTTCTCTCCATTTTGTGTTTGTTTTTCATTTTAGCTCAACCACTTTGTGAGAAGAGTCTCATTCAACAACAGTGTAGGAGAAAAAGTTTCCTTCAATCAGAATGGGGAGTTAGAGATTGGATTTGATATTATGAACTGGATCACTTTTCCCAACCAGTCTTTCCTGAGAGTCAGAGTTGGAAGGATAGATCCCATGAAATCTCAAAGAGAAATATTCTCTTCTTCTGAGGAACCTATTGTGTGGCCAAGGAGGTTTAATCAGGTATGCCAAAAAGGTTAAATCCAACTATGTCCCATAATTATTCCACTAGGGAAACCATACAGAAATCAAAGAGTTCACCAATATTTACATTCAGAAACAGAACTCCCCATGGTTTCTGATTCTCCCAAAGATTATCTATCTGGGCCATAGGATTAGCTTTAGAAAACTTTTCCAACTATTGATCTGTTGGCTATGTGCTAGTGTGTTAATGTGTAAATGGCAGGTGGAGATATAAGATAAAATCAGGATATAATTTTTCTTACCTGAACTTGCAATACGATATCTCATTCTGATTAACCAAGAATAAGAATTCAAGATGTGAGTAGAAATAATTTTATTTATTTATTTATTATTAAATTTGTATGCTGCCCATCTCCCCCAATGGGTTAATGCACCATCATTAACCACTTCCCTTATTCCTCATTTAGATAACCCTACATAGTCATTTAGTCGTAATAACTACACGCATAGCAGAGACAGATGTCAAAAGAAAACAAGGGATTAAAAAATATCTGGTTGAATGCAGTCAGGTGCCAAATGATTTTTTCATAAATAGCTCAGTGAGAAATTCTAGTGTATTATTCTTTTAATCCAAAAAGCCTCAATAGGATGCTCGTCAATGTTGTTCTATATCTTCCTTTTCCCTCTTTTACTGTATATATACTCACCATACAAGCCTCTTTTGTAAATCCAATATAGGGAAATTACCCAGGTCACTCTCTTGGTTTGTTATTTGTATATCCTTTTTAATTATAAAGACATCAGTTGGTTTCTTTTGAATGTCCAGTGTAACATCTTTTTCCATGATATTCTTGTAGCCTGTCGCTTTCAAATCCACTTTCAAATCAGTCTCGATCTTGTCAGGTAGAACTTATTGCTCTTCCATAACATCTTTTAGATACTAAAGAGGCAGACGCACTTAAAATTAACTTCTGGATCCATTGTAGAAAAATGGATCCTTCAATGTGTCCAATGTTAAAATATTTTGCTTCATTCTGTAATTGTAAGTCAAGTTTGGGTGTTCTTCTCCTTCAGTTATAATATTTAGTTCCCTCTAATTCCCTCTAGTGTCCAATTTTAAAAATATTATTATTTTTTAAAAAATCAAAAGCATTTTCTCATGGGAAGGGTTCTTTATAATTAATTCCAAAATCTTCTTTCAAATTTATCTGGACCCTTAGTCCGTGTGTAACTTTCTAAAATCAAAGATTTAATCACACTTTTACTGTTCATTCCAAAACCATTTTTTTTCCTTAAACTTGTAGTTAAAACCTCTTTAGCTAAGGATTGAAGGTAACTCACCTGGTGCCATAAAACATGTCAGTCCAAGGGTTCCTAATAGCTGAAAAGCAGTGAACTAGCAATTTCCAAAAGTGAGTAGAAAAGGAAGTATGCAAATGTCCTTTTAAAGACACTGACCACAGTTTGAGCAAGATGGCTATTCCCTCATGTCCCAGAGCTCTAAACCTGCTGGAGACTTCTGTCTTGTGGTCTTCTCACTGTCTGGAGCACTTTTGGGTGGTCTTTCCTTGTCCAGAGAGGAATTAGCTCTTCATTCCACTGTGGTCATCAGCTTCGCTTTTTGTGGATCCATGTTTGGTTCACCATTACTTCCCTGGAAGTCTCACCATGCCAGCCCTGACCTAATAAAATAACTTATTCAACTGAAATACCAACATCATAGGACACTTGTAGTCCAGAAGAAGGAAAAATAATACAGCAATTATTAAATAAACAAAAACACAACATAGTTCATAGCCATTGTCTAAATTTGCATAGTGCTAAATCACTGCCTTCTTTCTTACTTTTAATTAAGACACTTCCTGCCACTCAGCTTCCTCTGCTCTCTCTCTCTGATTAACACCAAACATTAGGCACATCATCCATGACAAAAGTAAAGAAATATGAGGTAAAATGTGTAATTATTGGTCTATCCAGTCTGGTCCATTCAGAAGCATTTTCTGAACATAACATCTTGTCCAATCATAAACATTCTCTTCTTGCTTATGGACAGGCCCTGCCACTTTCTCTGTGTAATAACAAGTGCCCTTCAGGCTATAGTAAGAGCAAGTTAGAAGGGAAGCCATTTTGCTGCTATGATTATCTTCAATGTCCGGAAGGGAAGGTTGCCAACCAGGAAGGTAAGAGTTGTTAAATACAATGCTAATATATTGACTGATACTTAGAGATAGTCCTTCACTTAGAAAAGAAATTATCACATTTGTTTATGGTGGTTATTCATACAATTGAACAGCAGGTATCACCATTGCTATTATTTAACTTTAGAGAAAATGTTGTTTCAGATGAATCTTGAATTCCCTTTTCTGCCTGTCTTGAACTGCATCTGTTTGCATACAGATATTGCCTTCCCAACTGTTTTTAAGAAATAAATATAACTTCTGAAAATAGAATTATTGGGATTATACGATCGATTTGAGTTTTCTGAACTCATAAATGGAATAATGACTCCAATGATGTAACTCTTAAATTTGGAGTTAAGAGTTGTCACTCAGTTCCAGACTTGTTCCAGATAAGTCTTGGAGTCTCCTTATTCTCCGGTTGACTTCCATATGGTAGCATTATAAATAAAAGTTGGCATGCAAATGGCCTGAAGGTGCAATGAAGAACTTGGAAAAGTTGAAAGTTGTCATAAAAATGGAATACTTTCTAGAAATTAAAATAAATAATCCTCTGAAATATTTCACTTATTTTTTATAATAATTCTGTGCTCTTTCTCCAGCAGCATCAGCCACCAGAATCACAATGAAATGAAATTAGGAATATCAATGAATAATAGTAACAGAACACAAATTCATTAACACACCCATGCCCATATCACCCAGGATGATTAAAACCAATGTTTATCTGCAATCTCTTCTAGTTTTCATGTATTAAATCACAAGTCATTCTTTTTCTTTTTGTTTTAATGAATGAACTTAAAGCCTCACTCATATATCCTCCAAAAATTCCTGAATGACAAAACTCCTCTTAGTCATTTCTGACCACAGAATCTCCAGAATAGAACTTTAGGGAAATGACAGAAGTTTGTCTTTCAGACTTTAAGTTAGCTGCCCTAATTTCAGGCATTTTGTTGTCTTTTGTTCATTTTAATGCAACTTCAAGACTATCATATTTCTAATCTGATTTTTTTTTTATATAGACATGAATGATTGCTTTCAATGTCAACAAGATCAGTATCCAAACCAGAATCAGGATTTATGTCTCTCCAAAGTTGTAACGTTCTTGACATATGAAGAAACTTTGGGAACTGTTCTGACCAGTTTTGCTCTTTTCTTTTCTTTGGTCACAGTTGGAGTCCTTTGGATCTTTATTAAGCATCAGGACACTCCTATAGTCAAAGCCAACAACCAAAATCTCACCTATGTTCTCCTTGTTGCTCTCATGTTGTCTTTCCTTTGTTCTTTGCTATTCATTGGACAACCTTCCAAAGTGATGTGTGTCTTTCGTCAAACTGCTTTTGCCATTATTTTCTCCGTGGCTGTTTCTTGTGTTTTGGCCAAAACCATCATTGTGGTTCTAGCTTTCATGACCACCAAGCCAGGCTCCAAGATGACCAAATGGGTGGGGAAAAGACTAAGTATGTTCATAGTATCTTGCTGCCCCTTTATTGAAAGTATTATATGTGCTACATGGCTGTCAATCTCTCCCCCATTCCTAGATGCTGACATGAGTTCAATGGCAGAAGAAATAGTTCTGGAATGTAATGAAGGATCAGTCTTCATGTTTTACTGTGTCTTGGGCTATATGGGCTTCCTTGCCATTGTCAGCTTCAAATTGGCTTTCCTTGCAAGGAAATTGCCTGATGCTTTCAATGAAGCCAAGTTTATCACCTTCAGCATGTTGGTCTTTTGTAGTGTGTGGTTGTCCTTTATTCCAACATACTTGAGCACAAAGGGAAAATATATGGTTGCTGTAGAGGTCTTCTCCATTATAGCTTCCAGTGCTGGGTTACTGATTTGTATCTTTTTCCCTAAGTGCTACATCCTTGTGTTGAGGCCTGATCTGAACAAGAAAGAGCAACTAAGAATAAAAAAATAATGCAAGAATATAAAACTGGATAGTCTTTTATTTTTTTAAAAAAAACATTACAGTCCTAAATCCATGTATTGTTGTAAGCCCCGTTGGACTTTTTGGAGCATATTCCTCAGTATACATGAATAAGAATGTATTCCAAATCATATACATTCAAATTTTTCATTGACATTGCTTGCTATTAAATTAGAGTGGGATCTGTGTCAAACTCAACTCCTTTTTTTGTATCAATGGGGAATTATCCATACCAATATTAACTTATCTGGCGACATGAGCTTAAAATATTCATTTTGCTTAAGAATTTCCTCTGCTGTTAATGGAACAATGAACTATTAATTAAGCAGAAGATCAGATGACAGCACAGAAATTATTAATATGTTGCCATATAGAGAATATAGGCAGCTCAAGGTTGCATTGCTGGGTATCTAAAAAATCAAAATCCACACCAGAAATTCAAGCCTAAAGATACCTATTTAAAGCAGATTGGAAAGAAACCTAGGAACTGGGGGGGGGGGGGGCTTTTT